AGAGAGGAATCTAGTCTTGAAAGGTAGAATTATGTAAGACTATATTTATGGCTTTAATGCTTTTCTTCACTGAGTGCCTTCCCCAACTGTGTGCACCTTGGGTGGTGAAAGCTGAGGTTTTACAAACTTGAAATGTCAGAGCATGGCCCAAAGCTGGCAGAGCAGTTGGAAATTAAAGGATAATTCCTCGAATCAAGGAAACCACAGAGAGGACGAGGCCCATGCCTGAATGACCACCGAATTACACAGGGAGATATATCCACAGAGAACCAGGCTAACAAAGCAGTGGAAAACTGAAAAGAGAACAAAGATATTAGCAGCTGCATATCACAGAAAAGACAATGTTGGCAGTTTGAATCCAGGCAAGTTTAACTGCCTAACAACAAAAAATTAATAATCCTCAGAAGAACACAATGGAATTCAGAGTCACTACAATATATTAACTACAATATGCACTTTTCAATCAAAAATTACTAGACACGTAAAGAAACAGGTGGAAAAAAGAGGAGAAAATTCAGTAAATAGAAAGGGACTTTAAATATACCCAGATGTTTGATTTAACAAAGACTTAAAAACTACTCCTTATTTGATTGTTGATTGCACTGACTGATGTTTGAATATTAAATCTATCTTGCATTCTTGTGATAAATCACACTTGATCCTGAGAAAACTATAGAATTTTTTCCACTTTTTCACAGAAACTGTACATAATTTTTTTTATTTGTATCTATGTAAGATCCTACCTACATGGCAAATCATTCTAAGACAAGAATGGGTACAAACTATTCTTTGTTTCTTAAGCCACTGAGATCAGTGTTATTTCTTGTGTTATTTGGGGTAGAACATCAAGGACTTTACACTAAAATATAAACTACATTAATGCAGAGACTTGTGTGTGTTAGTTTTGTATCCCTAATGACTAGAAAAGTGTCTGATACAGAGTAGGTGCTCAATAAATATTGAGTGAATGAAAAAATATACAGAAAGTAGCAGTTGGCTTCATGGAGAAAGAATTGCAGATATCCTCTATCCAGGATGAGGTAATCAAGAACCTAATTATATATAGCTAGTTATTAATCTTATTTTTATATCCATGCCTATTTTAAGACCTCTTAATAGAAGTTCAGAGTCCCTCGGTGGTGCAAACGACTAAGCACTCGACTACCAGCTGAAAGATTGGTGGTTCAAACCCCACCCAGAGGTGCCACAGAAGACAGGCCTGACATTCTGCTTCTGAAAGGTCACAGCCTTGAAAACCCTATGGAGTAGTTCTACTCTGCACACATGCAGTCACCATGAGTTGGAAATGACTCCATAGTAACTAACAACAACAACAAGAAGAAATTCAATAGAAGTAAATAGTAAAGTACATTTATCACCGCTAAATATTGATACGTTGTGAGTTTTAAAATATGATACGGAGGAGTGCAGTTAAGGAATTTGTGGAGTAAAGTTATTTCTAAGTCAGAATTTCAGTTAAAATATTAAATGGGTGAATAGGTACTTCTATATTTTAGAAAGTATATTGAACATGTTCACATGTCATCTTTCAATTACCTGACTCTCAAACTTTAACTCTCCACTGGTTTACTGATTAAGCAGAGATGCCAGTTTGTGCACTCAATGAAAAAACAAAATGACCACAGTTATGTACTGCTGAGCAGATATCTAGGAAAGAAATCAGAGGTTCCCTAATCAATGCATACACTGGTCTTTCAGAAATGCTCTTTAATGAAGTATACAGCCTGCTATTAGACTTCAGGTCACTGGAGGGTGCTGTCGTTTCAGATTAACACAATTCAGGCCTTTTCTGTAGTAATTCCCTCACCAAAAAGTAACTACCAGAATTCAGCTGCCAGCATCCTTCACGGTGTGTGACTCCTCAGATCCCCAAAGTTGTTTTTTTGCAAGGTGAGTAGCCATGAAACAGACAGAACAGAATGAAGCAAAATGCTGAAAGGAGAGAAGTGTTTCACGAAAGATCCGAAATACAACACATTTAGTGCATCGGTGGAGAGGTGAATACAAGAGGCTAACATTAATTTCTTTGCTAATACATGTCCTGATGCTTGTCACCCTTATGAAGTCAAATTGACTACAGCATGCATTGCAATCAGAGAAGTAAAAGTCAAAAAAGTCAAATATTCGTAAACAAAAATAATAGCTTTCAATGTAACTGGAGAGAGATCAGCTTTGCTTTTTTTGCTATATGAGTCGTGAAATGGTCTTAAATCTTTAAATAAAAGATATCATTGTGCTAACAAAACAAAACAAAAAACAACCAGTTGCTGTTGAATTGATTTTGACTCATGGCAACCCCATGTGTTGCAGATTAGAACTGCTCTTCACAGGGTTTTCATGGCTGGGACATTTTGAAAGCAGATTGCCAGGCCTTTCTTTCATGGTGCCTCTGGGTTCAAACCACCAACCATTAGTAGCCACGCACTTAACCATTTGCACTACCCAGGGACTTCTATCGTTGCACTAGAATTCAATTGCTGAATAATTAAATTGGTATGTACTTTAATACAAATGCTTTGGATAAAGCTATTTCTGAGAATAACATCAAATATCATTTTACTTGTCAAATCACACTGTTATAGAAAAACATTTTCCAAAATATGGATTTGAAACTAATTCCAACTAATAAGATATAAGTTTGGGAGTGGATTTAAAAAGCAGTCCACTTCACTGTTCCTTCCTAGCTGTTGTTCTCATTATAAACATGACATTTTAATAAAAACATAAAATTCAAAAGTGCAAAGATTTTTTCTAATGACAGCAAAAACACAAAATGAAATTAGGGTTGCAATTTATGCATGTTGTTAAAATAGAGTTTAAATTATACTTTTGCTTTTTTTTCTTTAAAAACTATATAACCACTACTTGACGTAGAGTCGATGCTGACTTATGGCAATCTCATGTGTGTCAGAGTAGAACTGTGTTCCATAGGATTTTAGTGGTTGATTTTTCAGAAGTACATTGCCAGGCCTTTCTTCCTAGGTGCCTCTGGGTGGACTCAAACTGCCAACCTTTTAGTTAGCAGCTGAAGGCATTAACCATTTGAACCACCCAGGGACATCAAAAACTATATAGGCCTATAATATCATGATATTTTTAAAGCTCTGATACATAAAACAATGGCACAGAAACAAAGAATGCAGGGAGACATATTCTCTTATCCCCTACCACACATTTACACACAAGCAGGATATCAGCTAAGCTAGGAAAGGAAAAGAAACTGACTGGGCTTGCTCTGAAAGTCAGTCTGAGGTCTGGATAATGTAATAGTGCTATATGATTAGGCCTAATTTCTTAAATATGAGGAAAATGAAGTTTGTAAATAACTTTAAAAATATTTTCATTTTCTGGGCCAAACAAAGAGACTACAAATTAATAAGACCTCCCTAGATTTGGGAAGAACTGGTCTTACCGTAATTTTCACCTACTGCGAGTAGTTACAGTATTCATGTAACGAACACTGCACTTCAGATAAGAAGAAGGGGACTGGAGAATTGCTGAGAAACCTTAACTTCATGGAGCCTCAGTTACCTCACCTTAAAAGGATAATAATAATAGTACAGTGAAACTTGTGAGAACAGGAACTTGAAAGGACTGCCTTGTTTTTCCTGGTCTTGCAAGTTTTCTGCCTTTGACAGGGTGCATCTTACCACTTTCCTGTCACTGTTAGTGGAAGATATTTGAGTTTTCCTTCTCTGACAGGTTTCTGCCTTACACAGGTTCTGGCTTTTTCAGGTTTTACTGTAGTAATAGTACCTTGCTACAATAGTAGTACCTTGCAGTGTCTCTGTGATAAAGGAGAAAATGCTTGTGAAAACACTTATAAAATATTTACTTAATAAAGATGTCACTAGGCAATGCTCATTTTTACTGTTGTAGTGTGCCATTCAATTTCAAGGACAAAGTTTCCATATCGTTTAAGGCCTTCAGAACACCTAAACAGTTTCTAGTCCTAACTTACCAGAATGAGCCAAGCGGGGAGAAGGACAGCTGGAGGCTTAGAAAGAGAATACCTCCCTCTTCCTCTAGTTCCCATGGGCTGGCAGCAGTTGACTTCACTACCTCAGGTTTGCATGTGGCTGCCACCTGCCTTGAGCCACTTTTGCCCTAGCTGACTTTTTTTCCTTGGGAGGGGGAAGATTAGGTGGGGGTAGTAGTTAGGATTTCCTTGTCTTTGAATTTGACTATCCTGGTTTTATTGCTAAGTGCCTATTTTCCTGTGCCTGTTTTCTTACATTGCGAGGCACTGTCTTACAGAAACTGTATAGAAACGAATATCTTATAGTTTTATTGGGTCTTCGGGGGCAGGGCACCTTGCTGGTGGTCCTTCCAGAGTCCCTCGCCAAGTATTAAGGAAGAAAAGTTCACGCAGATTGCTCAAGGACGGGTGATTTACACTTCCCAGAGTAACAAAACTTTAGGAGGATGATCCGATCCCTGCATAAGAGTCTGTGGATGACCGGGGAGCGCGGGCGCTCAGGTCCTCCTTGGCAGCTAGCCTGGGCTGGGAAGACCAGTGAGACTTCTCAGCCGCCCGCCGCCCACGGACGCTCCTCTGCGGAGAAGAAGAGCAAAGCCCGGGGCCGAGGAGGCGCAGAGCAGGACAGGGCTGCCAGCCGGCGTCCCGTCGGCCAGAACACGGGCGATTGGAGACAAGTCCTCCGGGGAGCTTCTCCAGCCAAGGTGGCCGGGGGAGAGGGCACGCAGCAGCCAAGTGGGGCATCGGTTGCTTCTCCACCCTCCTCCCACCGCACTTCCCGCAGTCGCGGGCGCCCCGCCCCTCCTTGGCCATATAGAGGGCCGGAGCACCTCGGCGCGGCTCGGAGCGACAGGCTTCCAGCAGCGGATGGCGGCTGCCTGCGCTGCCTGACAACCCTGGCGCCGCCGCAGCCAAAGTAGCGGAGCACAGCGGCGGTAGCGCCCCGCACCATGGAGGGCAAGCCAGCCCCAGCCCGAGCCCGAGCCCGAGCCCGAGCCCGAGTCGGCGCCGACCTTTGCCGCTGCCCGCGCCGCGTCTGCCAACTCCCGCTGCTGCTCTCTGGGGGTCGTCGTCTCCTCACCTCGAAGCCAACATGAAGGAGAGCCGGCTCTGCCCCGGTCTCAGCCCTTCCTATCCGGGCATGTGGGCGCCAGGCAACCTCACGAGTTCTCCAGGGACCCGAGAGGGGTGCGGCTCCGTGTCGGTGGCCTTCCCGATCACCATGTTGATCACTGGCTTCGTGGGCAACGCGCTGGCCATGCTACTTGTGTCGCGGAGCTACCCGCGCCGCGAGAGCAAGCGCAAGAAGTCCTTCCTGCTGTGCATCGGCTGGCTGGCGCTCACCGACCTGGTCGGACAGCTGCTCACTACCCCGGTGGTGATTGTCGTGTACCTGTCCAAGCAGCGCTGGGAGCAGCTCGACCCGTCGGGGCGGCTGTGCACTTTTTTTGGGCTGACCATGACTGTCTTCGGGCTGTCTTCGCTCTTCATCGCCAGCGCCATGGCCGTCGAGAGGGCGCTGGCCATCCGGGCGCCGCACTGGTACGCGAGCCACATGAAGACGCGCGCCACCCGCGCGGTGCTGCTCGGCGTGTGGCTGGCAGTGCTCGCCTTCGCCCTGCTGCCGGTCCTGGGCGTGGGCCAGTACACTGTCCAGTGGCCCGGGACGTGGTGCTTCATCAGCACCGGGGGAGGGGGCAACGGGACTAGCTCCCGGGACAACTGGGGCAACCTTTTCTTCGCCTCCGCCTTTGCCTTCCTGGGGCTCTCAGCGCTGGCCATCACCTTCGCCTGCAACCTGGCCACTATTAAGGCTCTGGTGTCTCGCTGCCGGGCCAAGGCCATGGCGTCGCAGTCCAGCGCTCAGTGGGGCCGGATCACAACCGAAACGGCCATCCAGCTCATGGGGATCATGTGCGTGCTGTCAGTCTGCTGGTCGCCGCTGCTGGTAAGTACTTCAAGGGGACTAGGAGGTTGGGGTAGGCGAGCGCGCCCACAGGAAATGGAGACTTCTCCAAGGGGCCGCACCTGCAGGGGTGTGTTTGCAACCATGGAGCACTGGAGAGTTATGTTGGGACCTAACAACCCAAGCACTTCCAAGTTGAACTTCTCACTTACTTTCTGAGTACCTTCTATGTGCTAGACATCGCATTAGGCGCTGGTTATGCAAACATGGAAAACACAGGGCTGTTGTCCAGCAGGCGCTCACATTCTGAGGATACCCAGGTATCCTTTAACAGCAAGTGCAGAGATAGAGAAGTGCCTTGGGTGCTCAGGGAAAAGAATGGCGGTGACAACTGAGGATTGATGCTATGGGTTTTCTCCTTATTTCTAACCCCTCTCTCACGTCGGGGTGATTTTCCATCTATAGACGTATCCTGCCTGCGACCCCAGAGCAACACAGCCCTAGCCCAGCTTCTGAGCTATTGTGCGCTCTTCTGCGCGGGCAGCGCTAACCTGCTTTCTGTAGTCATTCTTGACTGGAAGCAGAAGGCAGGACGCCTCCCACTGCTGCAGCCATCCTCAGCCTCCCGCCCCCCGCCCCTCGCCTTTCTGTGCTTCACCCTCTGTGAAGTGCTTGAACCTGAGAATCAGTTAGTGGGAACCCTGTTACCGGGTAACTTCCTGTGGTCAGCGCTTGCTTCCCCTTGTTGCAATCCAGGATCTGGGCTGGGTCACAGCTAATCCTGGGATAGGAGGCAGGGGTTTATCCATTTCTCAGCTCCCGATGCCAGCATACCTCTGGGCAGCAAGTGGTCTTTCCACGCATATCTTGTCCTTGCCCAAACACACCTGCTTTTACAGACATATTCAAAGTTTTTCCTCTGTGGTGTTTTTAGCTAGAGATTTCTGTGGGTAAGCTGTTGTTAGGTGCCGTCTAGTCGGTTCCAACCTATAGTGAGTGACCCTTTAGGACCTTGTAGAACTACCCCATAGGGTTTCCAAGAAGCGGCTGGTGGATTCGAACTGCCGACCTTTTGGTTAGCAGCCGAGCACTTAACCACTTCGCCACCTTACTGGTTCCTGATGAGTGGATGCTTATTTAGGTCCCAGGCAGCCTGCCTTAATAGGAGGTGTTGCAGAAGGAGCGACCAGTCACTGTTCCAGAGTTATAACTGATTATAATTGGACCTGAAAGTATATTAGACACTTGTGGAAAACCTCTGAAACCCGTGATACAGTTCTCCAAACCAACCCACGTATAGTTTTAAATCCCTTGTATTTTAAAATAGAAGTGTAGTTTCTCCCTCTCCCCATCCCCTATTTGACAAAACAGATGTTGGAGAATACCTCTGTTTGAAGGGTGTGGTACATTTGGAGCATAAGCTTTGGCTTTAAGACAGTGAAGTGTGGTGACAGGAGAGTTACCCTGGGACCGAAAAGCCCAGCAAGTGGCTGTATGGTCACAGTCCTGTGTTCCAGGAGCTAGAACTCAGGCTGATGTCATCACATGGCCTATCAAAAACAACACCAAGTTTAGACATGTTTACTTCTGTTTTTGAGGAATGGGGTGTGTAGGTGGTCAAACAGTAGAAAAAAAGAGTTCTGAACTGTAAACATTTTACTAAAAGGTGGTAGCATTGGTGGTGGTTCAGTGGTAGAATTCTTGTCTCCCATGCAAGAGACCCTAGTTTGATCCCCAATCAATGCACCTCATGCACAGCCACCACCAGTCTGTCAGTGGAGGCTTGCGTGTTGCCAGGATGCTAAACAGGTTTCAGAGGAGTTTCCGGACAAAGACGGAGTAGGAAGAAGATCTGCTTCCAAAAATCAGCCAGTGAAAACCCTGTGGATCACAACGGTCAGATCTGCAACCAATCTTGGGGATGGCACAGCACCAGGCAGTGTTTCCTTCTGTTGTGCAAGGGGCCCCCAGGAGTGGGAGTGACTGGATGGCAGCCAACAGCAACAAAAGTGTAGTAACTAATGTAACTTTTAAAGACAAGCTGGATTTTTCACAGCTGTCATTTGAGTCCCACATCTTTGAGTTTCTCTAGCACAGGATCTATGCACTAGGGAAAAAAAATACAGTTAAATCATATGAATAAAAGGTATACCCACACAGTAAATCAGACTTTTGGTTTAAAAAAAAAAAAAAGCTAGAAAAGAAACCAGTGTATATTTTGTTTAGAAATTTTGGTTCTGATACCATGAGCATCATAGCCTTAGGAAGAATTTAGACCCAAGAATTGTAACTTAGGATGGTCAAACTCAATCTGTTAAGAAATATTATAGTTGGAACTAGTCTTATATAATTTCAATTAATATCTGCATTCAAGTAATATTTATTGGTTTGCAACATTTTCTCAGCCACTTTATTTGTTCAGTTCTCAAAAAAAATTAAAATTGAAATAAATCCAACGTGATAATATTGAAGAAAAGAAATTCATGGTTTCCAAAACATGTACTTTTTAAACTAAAGGAAACGTTTCTATTTTCTGTTTTATGCATCACTGAAATTAAATCTCCAAACATCTTTAGAAAGATCTATAGCACAAAGTTGGAATTATTACAAAGGAAAGAAACTGGCAAAACTGCTTTTTTTTTTTCACTAGGTGAGCGAATTCTAAGGATCAAAACTTACTGAATTGAATTTTCAATATGTTAATGTTAAAATGAAAAATTGTTTTTATACTTTTTTTCTAACTGTAGGTAAAATACATGTTTTCTATTAACTTTTGTTGAATTCGGCATAGGATACTAATCTAATTATCCAATCTTTTTACTTAAAAGGACACTTAGTATATCGTACCTTTGAAGACAATCATTACTATAATAACTTTTAATTGTTACTGTTAGAAAATTTAGTAGAGCAGAAATACCATGATAAGAAAGTGTCCCAAATGTTACAAGTTGCCACCAAATAAATACTTATAACAGAGATTTATGGAGCAATAAAAGCTTTTTTTCGCAAAAACTTTGCAAAATACTATATGAGATATGAAATTAAGGGATAATACAATGGGGAACCGTGTCACCAGGATACATGATCTGCAGTTCTCAGTCACTGTTTCTGTGAGGCACCAAATAGCCATTCTGTTGGCATCAGCCAATTGACTCGGCAATACTTAGTATATTATTATTGTTTTATATTTTTATGAAACATGCTCAGCAAATATTCCAGTTATGCATGTTTCCAGAAACAGGATTAGCCCTAGGGTGTTGTGCAGAAGAAGCCAAGGGCACTTTTTGTACCTGGCACTCCCCAAAAAGGTAGAATGTGGTTAGTACTATAGCCATCTTAAAAACAGTAAATCCAAACCTAGCTATCAATATTGTGAAAAGAGAAGTATAAGGAGCAAACAGTGTTTCTCATCTACAGTCTTGAAACAAGATGAAAGCAGCCTTAGAAATTTTTGCCTATAATCTTGAACCAGAAAATTCCTGGCTCAATATTCACAAATGCAATCAGGGATACTTCAGTTTAAGAAGATGTTGCACATTATAGTTTGATTTTTTAATTATAATTTAAGGAATTTCATATATTTTGACCATTAAAATTGACCTTTAATATACCACATGTGGTAGTTATCTGTGATAGATTATTTTATAAAAGTAATGCTCTTGTACAGTATATAAAAGAAGTATTATTCATTTGCTAATCTTCTCTGCTAATAAATCCCTACCATATTCAGGATGTTGCTTTAATGAAAATGATTAAACATGTGAATCAGCACTATAGGGAAAATCTTCTATAATTTGTCTTTTATAAGAGTTGAGATTATTCAGAATTCTTTACATTTTTGAGTTTAGTATAATATATTATTTAGACAGTATGGAAGGGATATTAAATAAGCTTGTTAAAAACTGGTCATGGAGTTATAATCTCTTCAGAGAAGCAGAGAAGCAGAAATATCACATTTATGAGGAAAGAATTAGAGAACATTACAAAATAAGATAATAACTTCGGCTTGCAGAAAATAATCTACCTGAATTTGCCAGAGTAGGCTTCCAGGAGGAGTCCCTGAGTGGTGCAGATGGTTAAGACACTTGACTGCTAACCAAAAGGTTGGAGGTTCAAGTTCACCCAGAGGTACCTCCATAGAAAGGCCTGGAGATCTACTTCTGAAAAATCACCCCTTGATAACCCTATGAAGCACAGCTCTACTCTGACACACATAGGGTCATCATGAGTCAGAGTTGACACACACACACACACAAAGACTTCCAAGGACAGGTGGGATGGCAGAGCTAGATCGCACTCATGGCTGAGAGGAAGCATGTGCCCAAGAACCCAGTCTGATGATAGCAAGGCATGTACACTAGAATTATGAGAAGAATAATTTGAAAAGGTTAATGAGGCCAGACTGAGGTAGTCCTGAATGACAGTATGAGGACTGTACACTTTTGACAGTAGGCGGTAGAACCTCTGGGTTTTTGAGTAAGGGAAATAGTTTTAAAAAGATTGGCATGGCTATAGTGTGTAGATAGATTTGGACTGGAAAATGAGAAAGTGAGATCAGTTATGACTTGCTTTTGCAGGACGGTTTGGGCCTTAGGGTAGAAACACTGGGAAGAGTTGAATCAGAGAAGGAAAGGTAAGAGGGAACTAATGTTATTAGAAATGAATGATTTAAGGATTGATTCAACAAGCATTTATTGAACACCTGCAATGTCCTATGCACTATGGAAAATATGTTCACAGACATTAAAATGCATCCTGTAAGATTGCCACTATTATCTACATCATTCAGATGAAGAACTTGAGTATAAAATCTATGAGTTTAAAGGTTTACTTGTTTGTTTAGCTTAGCTAGAGGCCAGGAATTCAAGTCTTAATTCATATATATATATATATATATATATATATATATCCTCTTACCTGTAAAGCACACAAGTAGCACTAGTAGATATCTAAGGTCTTTTTCCATTTACATTATTCTCCGATTCTCTTGTCTGGAAGAATCAGGGTTCAATTAACTAAAAGGCACAATTTGAAAAGAGGAC